GCATACAAATTCTGTCATTCATTAAGACCTTATTAATTTTCTTTTTTTTTTTTATCTTGACTGTTTTGGCCATATGGGCACTGGCGGCAGGCAATAGCACCAGGCCCCGAAAACTCGTTGCTAGTTTTGGTTTCAAGAAACTTGAATGCTCGTAGCGGTTGCCGGGCATCCTAAGATCTAGTTGAACGGAATGAGGTTGATGTGAACGTTTGCATTTATTGGCTTTCATAAATTTGTATGAATAAAAGAAAAAATTCGATACCCCTGTAAAGAACTTCTTTTGTTTAAATGTCTTTTCTTATTCCTTATTTGGTGAATTTTAAATCGGGCAAAGTCCAGGAAGTGATTGACTTGCGTTCGTAGCGCTTGCCTCTGCTCCCTCTCACCCCTCGCTCAGCAATGTTAGAAGTTGGATTTCACTCAGTTATCTCACTCGGTTGACGTGCCAACTACGGAAAAGATGAAGGCATCAAGCTGTGGCGGGCAGAGAACGGAAGCTGCAGTGAGCTACGCCGAACAAGTCAACCATGCATTTGTCGAAGATGACTTAATCGTGCAACACATTTTCCTTGGCTCTGCGGTGTCTTGCTCGAGGATTTCTATTTCTGCAAAGGTTTTTCAGTGTTTCCTAAAGGCAGCGATAAGCACAAGAATTTGGACCCATTATTTGAGCAGGTATTGATTTTGTATAAGTACATATGAGTAAACATAGTTCTCTGCAAGCCTGACTGGACTGAGAGAAGTGCAGTGTCGCCTGACTAATTAGTGAAGACTGCAACCGAGCTCCTGTTGGGAAAATGCGTTTATTAAAACACTTGAATTTAAGTTAGCTTGGCTACATAGTTTTAGTTTCTTTTACTTTCGGCGTGTAGTTCAAATGGTGTCAAGTAATTATAGGCTGCTTCCTGCTCACGAATTTCTTGTAGTCATGTTTAGAAATTTGTGAGTCTTTACTTCTAATAGTGTCACTCAAGTACACGTGATGGACTAAATGCTTCTAAAAATTATTACAGAGAATGTCAATGAAGCCAACGTTCTGACAAGTGAATTTTCCCTCGTGAAGGCAACGCTGTTGCCCTGATGAAGACAAGTCAACTTGCCGAAACGCTGTTTCCAGCGGCGTTATTTCTCAAAAAACTACTAATCGCTTCGAGCCTCTCCGTGCGTCTGAACTTGGGTCTCGTTTGGTACTCAAGTTTCATAAGAAAACTATCCACGCCGTCATAACAAACGTGATTGAGTCAAATATGGCGTGTCTTACTTGCAGTTGTTGATAATTTTTGCATTGATTCGGATATTCTGGGTTCAACAATTGCTCATTATGTCCGTATATCAGTTGTAAGTTAAAGCTGCTTTTATAGATTGATACTTTCACATTATCTGTATGGCTGTTTTTTTATACAAGATGTGTAATAAAAAGGTTCATTTTATTATTTTTGCCGATCTCGCGTTTCACCTTACTGAGAAATCAGTCAGGTTAATTTTCCCTTCTTCAGAAAACACGAACAAAAAAAAAGATTAATGAAATTTTACGAATGGCCGCATCACCCAAGCGGCTAGTGGACCTGAAAGAAGGCATGAGCGCATTCCACTTGCATGTGAAGTGGGAAAGCAGGGTTTTCGTGGCAACCATCTTCCTCTCGATTTTTTATTTTTTCCCTCTATTTTATGAAGCCACCAGTGACGTCATGAAAGAAAATTTCTGTTTGTAGGATCCCTGCTACTGCCACTGCCAAGAGCGACTACATGAAAGGTATAGGTAGTTTCTGCTCCCTGGTAGCACCCTGCGCGTGGCACTGGCACGGTGTGACAGATAGCCTTCAAGATGGTTAGCAGTTGTGCCGTTTGTGAAATGAGCACGTACCTGTCATGCCTGCTTTCTCCTGCCTGCTGAGCAGTTGATGGCAGTGTTGTGGAGGAGAAAGGAAGCAATTTTCGGCCACTTTTAACACGAAATTAAAAATTATTTGCTGCATATAGTGCAATATTTGGCTCACATGCTCATAGAAACTTTGACAGATCAGCACTGTTTTCTGACTATGCTCAAAATGTGTTACCATCCCTTTTCAAGGGCACGAAAGATGAAAATGATTTTTCTCATATGAGCAAGTGTCTTCTTGGTTGCTTCTAAAAGACTTTGTAAGTGAGGAAATGCACCAAAATAAAATGCGGGTGGTGGAGTCGAAATTTCCGCCTTCAAAGGCCTGCCTCAAACGTTGTGACGTCACATATTTTGATGATATTCAGCAGTTCCTATATAGTTCTTAATTAAAAAAAAAGTGCATTATCCTCTGAAGGGGCCATAGATCCAACATATCAAGTTTCAAGAAATTTTCGGGGGTCTAACAAAAGAAAGCATCATCGCGGGAATTCGCAGACTACTTTTCGGACCGACTGGATTATGCGCGTCGCACCGAAACTATGTCCAATCACGAGTTAAAAGACGCCAATCATTCGATTTCACGGGCGGGCACCCGATTTCAAGACATTGCAATCGAATCCCAAACCACCATTTGAGTGCCACACGTGCCACTCTCGTTTTTATTAACAGTATGTATTCCTTCCCGTCAAGCACAACCACCGCAAAGAGTTTCATTGTACTTGTACCAAACAACTTATAGATAGCACGTAACCGCTACTGAAACGCATACAATGCCGATTAGGCCTAGCTTGCCATTCGGTATGTTCTCACAGGAAGCCAGGACATGCAGATCCAGCGTCAAAAAGATTGCACTCAGGTACCGAACCAAGAACAGCATGCGTGATACGAAGTTCGTGGCAGGGAGATCAGCAACAGTGAAAACACGGCGAGCTTGCATAAGGCCGCTCAAGCTTGCATCATAAAACTGTAAGAGTTTTTAAATTTACGGACAAGGTAGCAAACGCGATATCTGTAGCACGCTCGATAACGACGACTCTTTTCCCGACAGGAAGCTGTTAAGCGCAAGTGATAAGGGCGGAATTGCACGTGTACTGTTGAGCCATGCATGGCCAGAGCCACGCTAGTGACGCGTACGCTGTAGCCACATTGTGACGGTGCGTGTTGGGTTTTTTTTTTCTTTCCTTTGGCCTTTGTTCGTTCACTCCATGTCCCCTTCATAACGACCTCGTCGCTAGCTCCCCAGCGGTGCAGCCAGCGCGCCTCCTTTTATATGCGCAATCTCTACCGCCTTTGTTACAAAGACTTTCCGCCAAACCCATTATAACTGGTCTCCCATCTTGGGGGACTAGACAATATGTGGTATGCATATACATGGCGTTCTATCGGATAGTAAACGGGAGTCGAAAAAGACCACATTGTGACCGATTTTGCACTATACGCGGTTACATTATAGGTGGGCTACACTGTACATCATAGTACAGCAAGTAGTGGGAAAGCAAAGTGAGGATGAGAAGAGAGAGTAAACCGTACTATAGCCATGTATAGTATGGTATAGCAAGTGGCTGGGAAAGGAAAGTGAGGGTGAGGATAAATGTGATAGGAGGAGGAGAGGGAGAGGAAAGCATTGCAGTGCCTTGTTTGTATCAAGAAGTGAGAAGTGAAGATGAGGAGGGACAGGAAGAGGGGAGGTGAATATATTGTGTAGTAGAGCGAGGGTTGGGAAACGGAAGGGCAAGGTAGAGGGGAAGGCCACCAGTTCCACAGTTTCCCCAGCCTCCACACCACTAGTGCGTGGCCGCACCAAATCTTTTTCATTGCTCATTTTGGATCAACTTTCCCGTTGCTGAATCACTCTCAGACAAAGCATAGATTTGGTTGGATATGAGATGAGAAGCACATGCCATTCCAATTTTCATTGAGATGTAATGTTATGCACTTATGTAAATTTTCAGATGGCAACTTTCGTTGCCATGGGAACATGCACAGTGTAAGGTGGGCACCATCTTCAGAACCAGTGCATACGAAGTGTGTGTGGAGAACTTGCAGTATGGTCCTACATAGAATGATCTCACTCACAATGGGCAGTTCTGGATTGGTTCCGTCTGAGTGCTGACTCAACATTTTAGCAGGGGCTCTGTATCAAATAATCAAAAACATCATTGGTCATGCCCTTACAGCAGCGAGCAGTGGAGAAAGTAGCACATATTAACTGCAGAGTTATTACATCAAGTTTGAGTGGGAATATTTAGCATGGTATTGAACGCCAGGCAGAAAACAGTAGTTTTTGCTTGGATTAACTTGTTTTTCTAGGCATAGGCATAAGTATGTAAAGAAGTTAAATTTGAAAGTCATAGTTTTAGTAGCGTCTAATTGTTCAGCACTGCTATATGAGAGTATATACATACAGAAAAGCTAATGTAACGCTTCTGCTGAAGTTTCCATCTAGCTCGTTGTTTTTGCATGGCATGACATACAATATTTTGTTTTAGGGGCACTTAAGAGCAAAACAACATTTCACGCATTATTAATAAAAGTACAATTTCACCATCTCGAAATTACCACTCTTACCTCTACATGATGCTTAGTAAGTGAGAAAATGTGCTAAAAGAAAATGCAGGCGGCAACACCACCTTGAGGTTCCCACACCAAATACTGTGATGTAAGAAATTTTGAAGCTGTCTACTTGGTCCTACGTAGCTTCCAAGCGATAACAATGAAGCATGTTGTAATCTGTGGCTGCCATAAACATAGCATGCGAAGGTTCAAAAAATTTGGTCTCGGCAATGCCATGAACATAGTGAAAACACATATTGAAATTTCTTGTGTCACGTGCCGAAATTCAGGCACGAAATTTAAAAATCAAACTTCAATCACGAAATTTAAAAATGAAACTTCAATCTTGATTTTCTTCGCTAGTAATAAACTTAAGATAATGAAACATATGGCATTAGAGTTCTCAGAGTGCAGTTTCTCAAAGTGCAGAGGAACATCGACAAAGTCATTGTTCCTCTTTAGTGTCCCTTTTATGAAAAATAAGGTATCCTCGGATATTGCTTGCCACATTATGAACGGTCTTACAAAGACTTGAAGCTATTGACGTGATTTAAATTACTTTCAGGATATTCTGCACTCCTGTGACATGGGTCTTATAATGGGGGCTCCTGTAATGGACAATATACTGGCAAAGCTGGCCAGTAAAGTCCATAAGGAATTACCAGAGTTGATTCCTTCAGCACTTCTTGAGAAGGTGGGTGCCTTTATTGCCTTCTCATCGCTTACCTGTGCTGCTGCTTCTTTTGTAATGTAAACTCTTCTGTAAGTTAATTACCACTTGGTAGTCAATTTTTCTTCTTGTTGCAACCGCCGGGGGGCAGATTTGGGTGCACGTTAAAGAACCCCAGGTGGTCGAAATTTCCGGAGCCCTCTTCTACGGCGTTTCTCATAATCAAATGGTGGTTTTGGGACGTTAATCCCCACATATCAATCAATCAATCAATCAACCGCCGGGAGGGTCTAGTGTTTGTGGTGCTTGACTGCTGACTCGAAAGTCTCAGAATGAAATCCTGGCTGTGGCTGTTGCATTTTGAAGGTATACTGACTAAAATGTATTGGCCTCACATTTTTTGCCGCAGTGTGTTTCTCGGGGCCTGTTCGTCATAACACACCACATTGTTTGCTGCTACGTTTGATATATAATTAAATATAGGCTCCTCATTGCCCACTAGTCTCAGTTTCGGTGCGAGCAAGCTCCAAAATAAATTAGGGGACCCTAAAGCTTCGCCTTTAGGAGTTTGATGCGATAGCGACGTCCTGGTCCTATTGCGTATTTCAACCACTTAGTGCATGAAACCTTTTCAGATTTGCTATGCACCCACTATGTGGCCTTAAGGGAATTGGCACAATAGCGTGTATGCCTTTCATAATGGGGTACCGGCTTTCAACCACGGAGCCCTCATGATAACCACATGTTCTGACAGCTGTTGGCAATGGACGCTTGTATCATGCATTAATACTGCAATATTTCATGTTGCATTGTGAAGCATGTACACAGGCCGCATATGTTTGTGAAGCATGAAAGCTAATTTCACTGTATTTTCAAGCAGGGGAAGTTCTTTTCACTGTTTTCACAAGCAGAGGCGGGGCCATGGGGCAGAACATTCGCTTGCCACCAAACGACCCTGGTTCGATCCGCACTTAGACCCAAACAACCCTTGTTCGGTCTCCGCTGTGCTCCAGGATTATTTATCATTTATTTATTTTATTTACGTAGTTCTCGATTTTTCGGTCACGCATAAGATGATGATTTTTTGCTCACAACCAACAACGCCGATACCAACGCCGGAATTTCTGCGAAACGAGGTCTTTAACGCCATTGCATTAACAATTTGCCGAGTGCAACTATCACCATTCAGCGTGTGCAACACTTCACCACATCAGCACACAGAACTGTGACTTATTTCCACTGGGTACAAATCAGGAAGTCAATTCGAGTAGGAAACTGGACAGTAGTGTTGTCAAACACAAAATCTTCAACGTGTGCGCCGCTACTGCTGACTCGTGAGTAGCCATAGCGTAATAGTTTGCCGGTGTAAATCTGGCAAGAATACAAATGGGAGTTATTACGCAGTCACAACTTGTATTGACTGTAGAGTGGTGGCATGAGGAAAGTGGGGGCGTCACCGTGGGTCAATTTTGTGGGGGGTAGCTCGATTGAGTGTACAAACTTCAAAATTTTCGTAAAATATTGTAGGTCAGTATGGAGGAGGTAGTGCTTGATTGCTCACGCAAAATTCGAAGCTCATGTAAAATACTTTTTAAGCAGTATTTTCTGTCTATGTTTTGCAGATGATATATGTATGTTATGGGAATTGATCTCGCAGGCAATTTCTGCAACAAAATTTTGTGTCGGTATTCCTTTAATAGCGGAAGAATGTGAGAGGGTCATGTACTTACATTTAGGAGCATGTTAAAGAACCTTGTGGTAGAAGTTTCCAGAGCTTTTCAATATGGCATAGGTCATGATCATATTGTGGTTTTGGGTTGTAAAACCCAAACACATTCCTTAATTTGTACAGTTGAGCTGGATATAGGTAGTACTCAATTGTAAAGAGATTACAAAATCTTGCAATTTCACTTGAAAGTCGAATATTTGATGGTGGTAGCAATATTTCACACATTTTCATGAAGGGTCATGGTTTTATGAGCCTCAGTTTCATATTGCAATAAACATTTGCATATTAGTTAAATCATCATAAAATTCTAAGCAAGCGCCTCACCTAGGGCCAAAAATGTTTCATGAAAGTTTCAAGGAGGGCGGCCCTTGCCTGGTTAGTGAAATTCAATGTAGTTGTGCTGTGTACATAAGCAAAGAAAGAAACCCAACCTTGACTTGAAAGCTTTATTTAACATACATTCGCAAAGAAACCTAGCTTACTTGGTAAATCGTTTATTCTGATTCGTCCTGGAAGCACATGCATTATAAAATGGCACAAAAAGCTTCCCCCTTCAATTGATTTTTTAAATGCAGTGAGGGGGAAGCACTCCAAATATGCGATTCAAATGAATCAAAGTCGTGCTAACATCTGACAAAAACGAAGTCGTGTTGTTCATATTGCCACATATTCCCATAGAGTGTACTAGAGGTGTGAACGTACCTCGCCGCCTGGTGCCTTCCGCGTCCACAGTAGCGGCGGAGCAGCAGTCACTTAGTACTGAAGGTGTGCTGTACTTTGCAAAAGAACTGCTGGGCGTGTTGGCAGCATCTGGTCAATCCGGTATTGTTACTGATATGGGTTTTGTTGCCTTTGTGTCATTATTAAGCCAGGGACTTGCCGTCGTAAGCCTTTATGAACGAAACTTCAAAGCTTTTATTGGATGCTTGCTTTATACATACCTGAGAGGTGCACTGCAAGTTAGTTCTTGCAACCTAAACGACTGCTGGTAGCTACGTAAAATATAACATTGAAAATGGGCTCGTTGCAACAGTGGAGATTCACAGTCTTGGTGTAAATGAGCCGAACACGTTGCTGGGCCTAAAATTAGTTAGACCTAGAATGACTGACACGAGAAAGAGACAGAGGAGACAGAAAGGGCATTCTTTATTCTAATTTTTTCTATCTCAATCCTTTCTTCTAGCGGTGATTCGGCATCTAGTTGATTCAGAGTAACTGTGTTGCTTTATTGTTATTTAGCTGTGCTGAAAAAGTTGTGTGCTGATATACCGTTTTACTCGCGTGATGAACTCGCCCCCCAACTTGGTCCTTAAAGAAAACAAAAATTTGTTTTCAATGTATCTGCATTTTATTTCGGTGCCATTGATAATCGAAAGAATGTTAAATCACGCCATTATACCACAAAATAATGACGCAATAAAAGCAAAACAGTTCAACTACCATGCTAATTAGTTGCGAGCAGCGTCAGCACGGGCTATGTCGATCGAAATTCAAAAGTTGTACCTTTTGAAGCAGAGCGCGATCTGTCAAATGCAAAGGAAACCTTCAGTTTATAGCACTAGGCAAGCAGAACGGCGCAAAAACAAAGCAAAATTAAAAGCGCAATCGTGCTGACGGCGCGACCTGCACTGGCAACGTGCATGCATCGCCATCCGACACTGCGTTTTTATGTTGACGATCGGCCTGTACGCTAGCAACATAGCTGGTTTTAAGCTTAAGGTTGGTAAAGCATGCACTGGATTATGGGAATCGAGTGGCTGGACGTCACTCTCAACGTCTATCTGTGCACGTTGGCCTGTACATGTGCTATCTGCATAGCCGCACTGCACGTGCCGGGACACCAGCCGTGCGCAAGCGGAGGGCGAAAGAGCGTCGCCGATAAGCCTTTCGCCCTCTGCTTGCGCATGGCAGGTGTCTTGGCACGTGGGGCTGTGTGGAAACTACATGTACAGCTTTGGGATACAAAAAACCTACGTTGCACATTTCGCGGGCCAAAACAAGGACAGTTTTCTTTTGGGGAGAGTGAACTTCTCGAATAGAGACTCTGTAGTCCTGCCGCTAAATTGAAGACTAGCAGTGGTTGGACAGTTTTTTTAATACCGTCATGCGAAATTTTTGCTGTTATAACTTTCCTGACTTTTTTTTCTTCCACGTAATGGACCCTCCCCCTTAATTGACTTCAACTTTTTGGAAAAAAAAAAAAAAAAAAACGAATGTAGGTTCATTACGCGAGTAAACACAGTATTATTCTGCCAAAAGGAGGCTGAACATTTACTGCTGGCAAAGCCATGGATGGTGTGCATCTTTGGAAATACGCTGTGTAAATTTTACTTTCTGACATTACAAGTGCTCAAACTATCAGAAGTCAAGCGTAGCCGGCACGGTTGCCAAAATGACAGGCGAAAAGTCGGCACTTTTTTTGTTTCAAATTTTACTAAAAAAGTCGTCACTCTAAATATGTGTGGCTTGTCTTGTAATAGGAGGGCTTATTACGGCCACCAGCCCCCAAATTATATTGATGTTTTTCAATGAAGTTACATCACCCACTTCACCGTGGGGTCACTGGTAAAGGACATGCATGTACCAGCAGCGTCCGTGAATTCTAATAAATAATATTCCTAATCCTTTTAGTTGTAGTGAATACAAAGTGAAGCAGTCGCTATAAGAGAGGGACAGCGTGCGAAGCCTTCCTGCAGGTGTAGAGCATTTTATTACAGCGGAAGCATCTATGTGTTAATTGAACTTATTTACAAAACAACGTAAATAAATTAAAATGTACTGGGTAACCCTAGCAATGTGCAGACCACGCTTCCTCTGTGATAAGGCTTGCGCTTCACATTAATACTTATTGGGGTTTAGTGTCCCAAAACCACCATACGGTTATGAGGTGCTTATGCTACACATTCGCTTCTGTGCAGTTTCTGAAGGCTGCCTGAAGAAGCCAACTTCTTGGGTGGCCTGGAAAGTACGTGAATAAAATATTCTCTGTGTACCAAGTTTGAGAGTACTACAGCAGTGAAGAAGCCGACAAGCTATTCAAGACAGTTGGAGCTGTGGTCAGAACGTGCTGTCTAAACGCCACCTAGTCACTTCAGAAGCGAAGCTTTAGATAAGCTCGAAGCTCTTAAAGCATCAAAAACTCAATATAACACCACCACCTCGTAGCACGCGAAGCAGTCCGCTGACCTAAATTTTGCTGGGAGGTTACTGGTAGACGCACCAGTGCACCATTGCCAGAATCTAGGCGTATTGAGGAGATACAGATGTACTGAATCATGCGTAAACTGCACCTTCT